AGATAGTTAGACAGTTTCTTATAAAATTAAATGCTCTTACCATATAATCCAGCAATTATGCTCTTGGTATTTATCCAAATGAGTTGAAAATGTATGTTCATGCAAAAACCTGTACATGAACATGCATAGCAGCTTTATTATAAATGTCTTTCAGTAGGTGAGTAAATGAACTGTGGTATATCCAGACAATGGGCTATTACCCAAAACTGGGGGGGGGGGGGGATAAAGTTATCAAGCCATAAACAGACATGGAGGAATCTTAAATTCATATACTACGTGAAACAAGCCTATGTGAGAAGGCTACATGATGCATGATTCCTTTCATAAGACATTCTGAAAAGGGCAAAAAATATGGAGATAGTTAAAAAAAAAGAAAAGTTCATAGTTTCAAGGGAGTAGAAACAAAGGAGGGATGAATAGGTGGAGCACAGAGGAATTTAGGGCAGCGAAACTATTCTGTATACTGTAATGGATATGTCACTATACTTTTGTCAAAATCCACAGAACATACACCAAGAGTGAACCCTAATGTAAACCACAGACACTGGGTGATAATGATAGGTCAATGTAGTTCACTGATTTTAACAAATGTACAACTTTGCTTGGGGATGATTATAGCAGGAGAGGTTGTAACATTGTGGGGAAACTCTGTAATGTCTGCTCACTTTCACTGTGAAGCTAAAACTACTTTTAAAAAATGCTGTTATTTAGAAGAGTATGGTGGCTCACGCTTGTAATCCCAGCACTTTGGGAGGCTTGAGCCCAGAAGTTCGAGACCAGCTTGGGCAACATGCCGAGACCTCATCTCTACAAAGTCAAAAAATTAGCCAAGTATGGTGGTGCGTGCCCCTAGTCTCAGCTACTTGAGAGGTTGAGGCAGGAGGATCACCAGAACCCAGGAGGTTGAGGTTGTGGTGAACGGTGTTCAGCCACTGCACTCTAGCCTGGGTGACAGAATGAGACCCTGACTCAAATAATAATAACAATACTCTTATTGAATCCTGGGTGGAAGAAGGGAAATAGCCTACCAAGTAATTGCAGGCTTGCAAAGGAATACACGAGAGACAGGAAGGAACGGAAAGTGGGAAGAGGGAAATGGGACTCAAGATGAAGAGAGCACCGCCTTGGCTACATGAAGGGATGACTGAAAATGCAAAACAGGTGAATGGATACGTTTATTCCAAGAGAGCCCTGGAAGTGTGCGAGACCAGTGGGTTGGAAAGAAGATCCTGCCATGGAGCAGGTGGTGAAAATCTCAAGCAGAGGTGCAGGATTTCCCAATGTGGATGTTTGGTGGAGACGACTTCCTGAAGATGGTGCCTCTCCATCCACCAGATAACGCCAATTCTTCCTTTTGAAAGTTTTACAGACGAGAGCTGGGAGAGTGAGTAGGTAGGCTCTAGGGGCCAAGACTTGGAACATTACACCATTAGGATTTGTGGATGCCAGATAAATCCTTTCCCATGGGTTCAGTGGAAGATGCCGCCCAGGATATCTTCTAAAAGAGGCTAGAACACATTTCAGGAGGACAGCACGAGTCTGTCCCCAGTAGTGCGTGGGCCACTTAGTGGGGCTGGGGAGGCGGCAAGGAAATCTGAGGGCGCTGGGGTCTGGGCTTTCAGGGCAGGTGCCAGGTGGAGCTCAAGATGGTGGCAGGAGGTGCCGGGAGGGTCGCTGGGGTGCGACACAGGCGCAGGTGGCCGACTCTGGGCTGCAGGGGACAGTAGGCCCAGGCAGTGAATGGGGGTTGTGGTGGGCAAGGGGTGAGTCAGAGTTGGGGGGGGCAGACAGCTGAGGGCAGAGGTGGCAGCAGTAAGGTGCAGGCAGTGACCCGGGAGTCCAGGCTGCCTCCTGGTAAGGTGGTTGGGTGTGCAGGGAATCCCTAGGCAGTGCCAGTTACCCCGGTGGATAATCCCCAAAGCATGGGTGCTGGGGACTGTGGGGTCTGGGGCTGCAGGACCCAGTGCCAGGAGGCCAGAAATCCCAGAGAGGCAGAGTTGGCTAGACTGGAGGGCTCTCCAGTTTGCCACCTGGGTACTTGTCATTGGCCACCTTCCCAGAAACCCGGTCCTCTCCAGGCATGTCCAGGCCTGGCGAGCTCTAGAGACTTACAGCAGTGATACCCTACCAGTGGGGCGGAGCTTGTCCCATCCCCAAGGCCCTAGCCATACCTTGTGTTGGCAGACTACCCTCCTTTCTGCAGGATCTGTAGAATCAGCTTCCTATTCATTTGGTTTGAGATTTAAATTCTATGTGGTTGTAGAACTGAGGTGTTTCCTTGCTGGTCGTTAGATGGGTGCTGCCCTTAACTGCTAGGGGCCCCCCTTCAGTCCTAGCAAGTAGTCCCCTCTATCTCAGAAGCAGTAGTGGAGTATGAAGCAGCCATAGCCCCTATCATATCTGTCTCTTCTGCCCTTGCATTTTCCTCCCTCCACCTGGGAGATTCTCCCCTTTTAAGGATGTAATTTGATTAGGCCTACCTGAGGTATCTCATTTCAACACTAATCACATCTGCAAAGTCCCACTGGCCATGTATGGTAACATGTTTATAGGTTCTGGGAATTAGAACATGGACATCTTTTGCAGGAATTATTCTGCCTACAGGTTTGCTGTCTGGAACCCAAAGATTCATATCCATACTGAATGCAAAATATATTCATCCCATCCCAAATTCCCAAAAGGTTTCATCCCATTATAGTATCAACTCAAAATCCATTTCTCATCAAAATTTCACTAGGTCAAAAATCTCAAATCTCATCATCTAAACTGTCTAATTAGGTATAGGTAAGACTCTGGGTATAATCCTCTCCATCTGTAGACTTGTAAAACTAGAAACATAGTTATTTGCTCCCAAAACAAAAAGGTGGGACAGCCCTGGGATAAGTCATATATGCGTTATTTCAAAAGGGGAGAAAATGGAAAGAAATAACGAAGCCATCAATTCCAAGAAATTTTGAAATCCAGCTTGGCAAACTATTAGGTGTTAAGACCTAGGAATATCTGTGGTTCAGGGATCTGACCACTGGGTTTTTCCTCGGCTGAGTCATCCTTTGTTAAGAAAGGTTCCAAGAGCTTACAGCTATTTTCTCAGTCTCATGTGTAGAATGTTGTAGTTCCAGTACCTTTAATTTCATACTTTCACTGTCCCTTTAGATCCAAGGTGAGTGCTCCTACTAGTATAAATTTTTCAAGAACTTGTGAGTCTCCAGTATGCCACTGGGATTTACTCCATTACACAAGAGGTTCATTTAGATTTTTTTTTAAAGTAGGTAACCCTTGATCTATTTTTTGCTTTTGCTGAGATAACTGAGAAATACCTTTAAATTTCTTCCATGCTGTCTGGTACTAAGGGGCCCTACAAGTCACATTCAGTCTCTTCAGAGAACTTTTTGTGTGACAGAATGTTCTGACCTTTTGATCTTGAGGAGGTATCAGCAAAAGGTTGTGAAGTTATTTCTTAAGAACATGGTTTCCTGATAATGAATCTCTTACTTTCAATTTTTTTTGGCAATTAAGGTGGATTGGGAATTTCCCAAGTCATTAAATCTTGGGACTTTTCACAGGTCTTCCCTGTATTTCTCTCTACCACATTAACTTTATTATAATCAATAAGAAGAAACAAAGGCACACCTTCAACACTTTTGCCTAAAAATGTCCTCAGCTAAATGTCCACATAAAAAACTCAGCATGAATATTTGTAGCTTTCCTATTAATATTTAAAAATGGTGGGGGATGGAGTGCAAATGGCAATTAAGATAAATAGATAAATTGTGGTATAACTATACAGATTACTACGTAATCTTTACAATGAGCTATTCATATATATGGAAAAATCTCAAACTATATTGCATGAAAGACAGCAGAAAAAAATAAAACACTTTCTCGTCAGACAAATAAAACCCTAGAAAAGGCAAATATATCTATAGTGAAAACTACTCAATGGTTGTCTAGGGTCTGAAGGGAAGGAGGGCATTAGTAAGGGCACTGAAAGGGATTATGAAGAGGCACAAGATTAACTTTGGGTTTGACAGACATGTCCAACATCATGGCTAGGATGACAATTTCATAGATATATACATATACCAAGACTTATCAAATGGTATACTTTATTGGGAACCCAGTCTACTGGGCATCACAATAGTGTCTCTACCATCTCACTCCAGATGGCTTGGGAAGACAACCTCTACCTCAGCAGCAAGAAAAACTGGCACGCAATGAATGTCATTTCCAGTTGAAGAACTCTGTGTGGTCACTAGCACTACTTCCCTGGGCCACAGTATTTCTTTTCTCCTGAGGTTACTGCCTGTACAGCAAAGACATTAGGTAAAAAGCCCAGGGAAGCAAAGGAATCTAGGGAAACTATGTTCTTTGCTGCACCAATAACCTTGGCCATAGAGTGACCAGTCCTGGAAATCCTGAGAATTTCTGTACACCCTGATCCCATACAGCCATAGTGACCAGAATGTTTGTGGATGTTTCTATAATGGATATGTCACCTCTACTACAGTCTCCCCCCAATCCCAATTTATTCATGGTTATCATTTTTATGCCAATTTTGTTCCTCGCCTGGACACTTCAGATCTTACCTACAGTGTACCAGATTCTGGCCTTCAAGGAATATGGTCACTCAACAGATCCTGAGAAACAGCTTTCCCTCAACAGTACTGGGGAACACGGAACAAATACCAGAAACAAGATACCTAATCTATGGTACTCACAAACCCTGCAGGCTGTCACAACAGCAGCACCCTTCTTAAGGCCTTCAAATAACTCTGAAATCCATGCAAATCAGGCCCACAAATTCTTACTTGAATTCTTACTTAAATTTTTGTCAGCAATGGAAGTTATCACAAAAATTAGACTGAGAACTGTTCTCCCAACCCACTGTCCCGTTTAAGGCATACAAAGTTGGAGGCCCCCACAAAGACTTTGCCTCTTCAGTTTGGCAGAGCCTGCCTTCAATTCACTCCAGACAGTGAAAGAACTCCCAAGATTAAAAATGGCTTAAACTATAAGGCCTTTATTATCACAACTAGAGTGACACGAGGCAAGTACTTTCACAGGCCAAATGGCTTGGAGGCTAGAAAAATTTATCACAAGTGTCACGTGAGACCAACAATGTCCATGGAGAAAGTAAACTTTAAGCTAAGCCATAATCAGAATACAGCTAAAGTCCTCTTGGCTTAAGATGAGTCATTTTCACACTTACACCAGTCAGAGAGGAGGGAGTGAGAATCCCTAATAAATTCCAGTGTCTCATGATTCTCTCCAGAGATTAGAGAACAGTCTTGCCTTCCCTGGATGTTGGGATGACTGAGCTAGTAGTGTTAAGATGGTTTCAGCCATAGGCATTGACAGTGACAAAACTCTGGCAAAGAACCTGAGTAGGTCAGAAAGTGCAACAAAATCCCTGGAACCTTCCTATAAACCTGATACCACAAGGTATCTTGTCCGTGTGAATGTTCAGATATATGAGGCTCAACATCTCACTGACGAGTCCTGTTGTACTGAAAATACTCCTAAAGCCTGCCTGCAGTGTGAATTTTCTGATGCCGATTAAGGTGGGAGCTTAAGCTGTAGGCTTTCCCACATTCACTGCACTCATATGGCCTTTCTCCAGTGTGAACTTTTTGGTGCCGAACAAGGTGAGATGTTCTGATGAAGTCTTTCCCACATTTGCTGCACACAAAAGGCCTTTCACCAGTATGAACTCTTTGGTGTGCAATAAAGTCAGAACTTCTACTAAAGAATTTACCACATTCAGTACACTCAAAAGGCTTTGCCTCAGTGTGAATTCTCTGATGTTTAATGAGGGTGTATTTATGGCCAAAAGATTTCCCACAATCACTGCAATCATAAGGATTTTCTCCCGTGTGAATACTCTCATGCTGAACAAGTGTGGATTTGTGTCTGAAAACTTTCCCACAATCATTGCACTTAAAGGGCCTTGCTCCGTTATGAACTCTCTGGTGTACAATTAGGTTGGAGTGATGACTAAAGTATTTGCCACATTCACTGCACTTATAAGGCATTTCTCCAGTGTGGATTCTTTTGTGCTGAGTAAGATTGTCTTTTCGACTGAAGGTTTTTCCACACTCATTGCATTCGTAAGGCCTTTCTCCAGTATGAATTCTCTGGTGTTGGACCAGCGTGGCTTTGCGGCTAAAAGCTTTCCCACATTCACTGCACTCATGTGGCTTTTCTCCACTATGGATTCTCTGGTGCTGGACAAGTGTGTCTTTGCGGTTGAAAGCTTTCCCACATTCGTTGCACTTGTAATGCATTTGTCCACTGTGAAAGGCCTCCCTACCCTCAGTGCTTTTGAGTGTCTTCTTGCTGCGGGTGGCCTTTTGCTGGTGGCTGTCCAAACTAGCCTGGAAGTTCTTCTGCTCCTCCTCACACATAAATGGCTTCTTGGACAGGTGAGGTTCTTCGCAAACTGTGAAGTTCTTCACAAATGAGGCCTCACCTTCATCTCTTAAGGGTTTCTCTGCATTGTAATGCTTTTGGTGCTGGTAAAAGTTTGCACTAAACCAGAATTGTCTCCCACATGCCCCACATGAGTGAAGTTTCAGTCCATGGTGTATTCCCTTGTGTTCATCCAGGTGCAAAATATCTTTCAAGAGGGGGGCACATACATCACAAGGGTGAGCCATCTGAATGGATGAACTTGCCTTGGAAGTACTAACATGTGACACTCCTAAAGAAATGCTCTGTTCAGAAGGTGCCTCTTCATCTTCCACTCCATGCTAACAACCTAAAGGCAGAAAAATATTGTTGATATACATGTTGATTTTGGTGGAAGGGGGCAACCCCATTACAAATGTGTGTCTAGTATACCCAGGACAACAACACAATGATGCTGGCAGGACAGAATGAAGATGAAAAAAGGGTAACTGTATAGTCATACTGGGATGTAAGGGTAACAGAATAGAGATGGCCTCAAAAGGAACAAAGACAAAAGGATGGAGTGTAATGCAAAGAGAAGAGACAGGTAAAGTCTTCAACTTAATCCTCTGCAAATGACTTTTAGCAGGGCCTAAAAGTCCTGCTAGTAGCAACAAGTGAGTACTATGCAGAAATGTGTGTCCAGGCCAAGGGAAATCTGATTAAAAATGAGTAACTGGTATTCAGCAACTATTTAAGGATATGTGCACATCTTGTGATATATTAGGGTATAGTACAATAAAGGAAAGCACTACAGAGAGAACAATAGAGTGCCCCTCTAGTAAAGAGTAAGGAAGGACAGTCATGGGGCAGTAGTCAGAATAGAAATGACAAGAGTGTCCAGAACAAGGAGGAAAAGACAGAAATAAGTTATGATCTCGGGCACTGGCACCAAACAGTGATAGGCACAGGACAAGTTTCTAGAACTATATGAGCACAGCCTTGAGGTCATGCCTTCCCTGAGCTTCCACTCACTAGGGCCTG